GGGCGGGCGCCTCAGCCATGGCCCTGCGCAAGGAGCTGCTCAAGTCCATCTGGTACGCCTTCACCGCGCTGGACGTGGAGAAGAGCGGCAAGGTCTCCAAGTCTCAGCTCAAGGTGAGGGGCACCCGGGGCCCGGGGGCAAGCCTCCGAACGCCCTCCGCAGCCTCTGCCACCCGGCTGCTCGGACTCGGGGCACATCCAGCCCTCCCAAGGCCCCGGCCGGCCCGAGAGGCATGGGGGACAGTGCCGGGTAACGGCCAGCATGGCCTGGGGATGCTGTTGCACCCCTATTCAGAGGTGCACATAGAGATGCCACCCTGACCCGGAGCCTGGCTGGGGACAGTGTGGAGAGGCTTGTGGGAGCCGAGGGCCAGGCCACAGGCCAGGCTCCGCTCCGGGTGATGAGCACACACGGATTCATGCTGGGGCACGCACCCTGTGCTCCTTCCTGTTACTGCTTTCTCCGCCGCGGGCCTTGGAGAGACAGTTAGCCTGCACTGTCAGTCACTTCCTCCCGGGCCCAGAGAGGCAGGAAGGGTCTGTCCCCGGCCCAAACTAGGCTGGTGGACCACCAGCCATGGGCAAGAGAGTGAGAGTGGCTGAATCCTGAATGGGCCCCTCCCAACAACCTTGCCCCTCTCTACAACCCCCTCGGTCCGTGTGTCCCCCCCCACCCCCGACAGGACAGAGCTAGAAAGAGGGGTGTGGACTCAGGCCCTCGTTGTGTTGGTACCCAACACACACACACATCCCACTCCCCTGAAAGTGACCTTAGGCCTGGGACCCCAGGAAGGGAAGGGGCAGGATTTCCATCGAGTGTATCAAATGGCCAAAGAGTTTCTCTTCCTCTTCCCTCCCCCAGTTCTGGGTTAGTTCTGCCATCCCCACCCACCTAGTTAGTGGCACAAAAGACCCTACTTCCTGGCGAGGAAGCAGGGCCCTAGGGGACTGGAACCAAGGGCCACTGGAGGAAAGGAGCAGAGGAGGCCCCAGCCTTCTGGACTCAGTCGCTCACTCCACCAAGTATTATTGCTCTGGCCCCCAGCATCCCCTCAAAGGAGCGGTGCACCCCTGGAAACCTCCATTCTCACTCAGCACCAGCGTAGCAGGTGCCTGTCCACCTGAGAGGTGAACAGGACGGTCAGAAGCAGCCCACCCGACTACTCCAACCTCCCCCGACACACTTGGCTTCCCTTGGACCCAACTGGTCCTGTCTCATAATGCATCCCTTAGCGGGACTAGTGAGCACCTGGGGTTACTGAGAGAGCTCGTACAGACAGGCTTTTCCTTCCAACCTCCTTCAAACCTTCACTACAGATCAGGTCGTCTAGGTAGGTCCCAGTATAGATGGAAATAACCCAGATCGTTCAAAGTGCAGCCATGCCAAAAATGAGGCCCTCACCCACCCTTAATTAATGACTCGCCACAATACTCCCAACCCCTCTGGCTTATTGTCTCACAAGTACCATCCATCCTCACCCCACCTGCCGCCTCCATTACCTGTGGCCCCTGCATCCATCACATATAGAGTGGTCGGCTCCCTTTTCCCTGGTGTCTGTAAGAACCCCATAGCTTGAACCTCTGTCTTGATCTTTACCTGAACTAATGCCCAGCCCCCTCACCCCCACAGCAAATAAAAGGGTTGAACATCTTCCGAGAGAATTCTCTGCGGAATCCTTGCACCTCCCAGCTCGGTCTTGAGCACACTGTTGTCGGCACTTCTGGTTCACACAGGACTAGGGGCGGATGTCTTCCCCAGAAATGTTCCCCTCTGGGACTCCGAGCTCCCTGTGGGAGTCTCAGGGGCCAGGAGAGGCGTGCAGCAGAAATAGCAGGGCCTCTGCGTAGGAGAAAATGATGGGGAGGCGGTTCTCCCCCAAAGCCATACTGGTAGATGCTGGGGTGGGCGGACTTGTGACGGTGTTCAGGGTGGGGATGCCCGAAAGATCCAAGGAGCAGTAGAGAAGGGGTGAGAAGACAGAGGAAGAAGACGATGAGCAAGAGAGGCTAGCAGGGCTGACCCTCCTCCCCAGAAAAGAGGAGAGGGGAAAAGATCTTGGGGTTAGCCTGGTCTTGTCAAAATTACCCCTGGCCTTGGGGCCCCTCAGTGGTGAGGGCCAGGAGATCAGCATCTGCTCCCCGATGTGCCGGTGGAGGGGCTGCCGCTGCTGGAGAGCCCACCCTGCGAGAGAAAGCCAGGGAGCTAGCATTGTTTTCCTAGCAAAGCGAAGGCTTGGGGGAGAGATCAGAAGAGTTCAGCTCTCTTGGAATTATTTTTTAACTCTGGTGACCTTGGCTCAGTGGGTTGAGAACATTCACCATGGACTGATGGGAATGGCACAGCTGCCCGAGACTGGACTTCATTAGGCCACAAAGAACTTCTCTGAGGTTGAGGGCTATTCCCAGAATCCCAGAAGAATTTAGGAACACCACTTTGGTTTCTGACCTGGCGGGGATCTGCCAACCCTTTGACCCCCTTCCTTCTCTCCCACTGGTCGGGGCTGAGAGCTGAAGACGTGGGCTTGGGTCCCTGGGGACCTTTGCGAGGACTGTGTGTGCAGCGTGAGGTGAGGGGCTCTTCCAAAGCAACAGCTCCAGCACTTCCCCTGAGGGCCAGGGCGAGGGCACCATGCAGGGGACATCCCTCCTTAGTTCCACCAAGTTTCCCAAGCTCCTGAACCCCTAGTTGGCATTCAGGGCAATCAATCCTGGTGCCCCAGGAAGGTCTTTTGCCCACTGATAGTCTCTTTGAGCCGCAGGCCCCTCCTCTTCCGGGGAGGGAGCTAGTCTTCCCCTTGGTTGGAGGAAGTTAAGAACAATGCCAGTCCAAGAACCTGCTGCTGGGGCTCTCCTCTGTGCCCTGACCCCACATGCTTTGTGTCTCCTAGTATTGAAGGGAGGGTGCAGGCAGCGGAGGAGTTGGATTTAACGATGTGCAGAGTACTGGTCTTGGGCCTAGACTGCTCCCCGGCTGGGTCACCTGGGGCAAGCCACTGTCCCTCTCTGGGCTTCTCATCTGCAAAACAGGGTTGGGTTGGGTGGTTGCCAAGCCATCCACCCTCCTAAAAACATCAAAATAAAAATACCCACAAATAATTGCAAGTGGTCCTTGATGCCACCTGCCTTTGTCTTTGTCTTTCCTTTAGGAGCCCTGGTGGCAGAGTGGATATGCACTGGTCTGCTAGCCACCAGGGCAACTGTTCGAAACCACCAGCTGCTCCTTGGGAGAAAGAGGAGGCTCTTTACTCCTGTAAAGAGTTACAGTTCTACCCTGTCCTCTAGGGTCACTATGAGTTGGCATCGACACGGTGGCTTTGAGTGGGTTTTCTTTTGAGTCTTTCCTTTGAGGGCCATGCCCAACCGCGCTGGCCCTTCTTGCTTCCAGAAGACATGCGGCTGATCAATCCAGAGATTCCCAACCTATTGAAATCCCCAGCACTCTTCCTCATGATAAGGTGACATTCTTTAGTACCTACTGGTTGAGAAAGTCCAGTCAGTAATTCTTTTAAAAGCATTTGTGTTTTTTCAAAAGGACCACATAGCCCCTAGCGACGTTTGAAAACTGCCGTCCACCTAGGAGAGAGGCGTTATTCCTGTTCTCTGCAGTCACGACTGGGCCTTTTTTGGGTTCTCAGACCCTCTCTCCCATCTGGCAACTCCTCATCGGTCCGTACCAGCGAGGCTCAGTAAGGGCCTGACACTAGTCCCCACCCCAGGACTTGAGTTTTAGGGAACTCCAAGCCCAGAGAACTACCTCCCCATGAATACATGAAGCCTTTGAAATGTGGACAGCTGCCAAACCAGAGACGGGCGGCCTGTCGGTGGGGAGGAGTGTGGGAATTCTCTCTGAGGGGGCCCGAGCCTGTCACTGGGTCAGATGACCTCCGTGGGGTGGTGCTTCCTAGCCGAACATCAAAATCCCCCAGGCAACCTGTGGAAAGTACAGACCCCACACCTGGAAACTCTGAGTCAGGAGGGCTAGGTGGGGCCGGTTATTTCAGTTTCATCAGCGCCCCAGGTGACTGTGCTGCCTGACCAGCAGCAAGCTGGGCTTTGGAGTCCAACCTTGGGCAAAAGCCTGGACCTCTCTGAGCCTCGATTTTCTCATCTGTGGGCTGAGGCTAATGGGAGTCCCGACCTCCTGGGCTGAGGACTGATTGAGATCAGCAGGTGAGCTTCTGTGCCTCCTCACTGGCCTCCACCCAGGCCATTTCCTTCCAGCATGACCCCTCCCCTGCTCACGCCCTCTCCTCCCCCACCCCCAACCAGCACTCCACCACAGGAAGCCTGGCTGGCTGAGGCCTGGGGAGAATGCCTGAGCCTGCTTGTCTGGGGCCAGTAATTCCTCCCTGACCCTGACAGCTCGCAGGGGGCAGAGCCTTTTCAGAGTCCATGTCCAGAGGTTCAGGTCTGGGAAACGGGCCAAGTGGGTGTTTGACGACAGTGTGGGCCAGGAGCCAATGTGAGGAGCTTCTGACATACCTGAAACACTAGCTGTGTGGCAAGTCCTATTCTGAGATGCAGGTGAGACCCTTCAGCACCCTTTTTAGAGATAGGAAAACTGAGGCCCAGTGGAGTTTATTTGCTTAAAGACAGTCGGTCCATGTCTGTCAGACATTATGGGATTTTTCAAATTCCCCTACTCCTCCCAAGAAGGTCTTTTCACCCCGTTCATCCCACAGAGAATCCAGAGTGTCAGCTCCTGTGATAGAGCAGGAAATCTACAGGGCAAGTCTCCTGCCCCTTGTGGTGCCCACATTCGGTCAGACATGGTAGACTAACCAAATAAGTGAAACGGGCAGTGTGATGGAAGATGATAGGTGGCACTGAAGAAATAAAACCGTGATTAGGGAGTGGGCATGTGTGGCGGTAGGGAGTTCTGTTGTGGAGAAGAAGGTGATCGATCTCTGGGAGAGGCCTTCCTGAGAAAGCGCCGTTGACTCAGGACCAGGGGAGCGAGTGAGCCGCGTGGTCACCTGGGTAAAGCTGTGCTGCAGACGCAGGGCACAGCACATGCACAGGCCCTGTGCAGGAGTGGGCCCGGCCTGCTCGGAGAACAGCAGGTCGGCTGGGCCCGGAAGACTGAGCAAGACAAGATCAAAGAAGGTGCCTGG